ATTCTAGTGTCAGATTCGTCACTATACTATAATTTAAGCTGTTGCTATTGCTCTGGAATAATTTAATGACGAGACATAGCAATTTGGGACATACTGCAAGTAGTTTTAAAAATTCAGTTATATGGCAAATGCCTCAAAAGACCCTCAAACACTTATTCCTGGTATGCCCACAAAATATGTTTTGCATGTTAACTTAGAAGAATAAAATTTAAAAAATAACATTTAAATTTATTTTTTAGGGTTCGTAGCATTCACATTCTTTTGTGCTTTATTGGATAATGCCTAATTAATTTTCAATTGCTGGACAAGTTTGAAATAGAGAAATTGCATATGGTTTGTAGAAGATGGTTCATTTGAAACTACAATATAAATCTAAAACTAATCAGAAGAATTGCTCCCTAAGAGAACAGAAAAGGCTCAGGTCTTTAACTCTTTTTTAATGCTTGGAAAGCACCACTCCCAGAATGCACAGCAGGTACAATTTTCAGGTGGTTATTTTGTCCTGTTTTGACTGAAGTCTGATAAGAGCTCTCTATTTGAGAAGAATGGATATAACATAAAATTGTTCCCAGCATTTATTTATCCAATAAACATTTTCTAAGAGTAACTTATAGTTTATCCTACATGATGCAAAAGGGTCACTTTTTCTGGAAAACAAGAAAACCAGATTCACTGACAATCAATACTATTTTGTTGTTTCTTAAAAACATAGAGAGGAAGGAAATCAGAGGTTACTGCACATTGCACCTTATAATCCCTATAAGAAATCACATCAGCATTTATTGGCAGAGAAGACTAGGTGGAGATGGAGATACATTGATGTGAAAAAAAGAGATGGAAACAAAGTCTGTATAACAGGAGGCAAAACACTTGCTCTGAAAAGGAAATATATTCTTAAATATTACAGTAGCACCTTGAAAATCCATTCAGAAATTGGCTCATAGTTTCTCCTGATACTGTCAAGTGCTAGGTCAGGTCACTGAGACAAAGAAATCACAGTCTAAATGATGGAGTCAGACATGGAACACATTTGGTTCAGCAGCATTTCTGTCAGTTATGAAAATATCTCAAATGGAAAATGTTATCCATAAATAAGCACTTTCTGCTACAATTCTCTGCTGTCCTTGATATGCCTCATAACAATTTTAGGTAGCTATGCAGGGCTGGAACTTTGGAGACCACCCAAAGACCCAAGGGCTGCCAAGTACCACTCCTGCCAGTGTAAAATTCAGCACCCTTTACAGAAGTAAAATAACACAGCTTATGACTCGTCCCCTTTTTAATGACTCTGTGTATGGATGTATAATTACAAAACCAGGTCTGAACTCACAGTATTTCCTTTTTTGTCTTTTTGATGCTGCATAGTAGCACGAGAATAAAGTTAAAATGTGTCCCTTTTTGTGACTGCTTGTTTTACATTGTGATCTAGTTGTCATAAACCCTGCCATCTGACCAAATTAGTGAAAAAATAGAAAATAACAGGCTCCAACATCTGGCAAGACATTAATTTGGACTTTCTTCTTGATTGTGTCTGTTTCAAATGCCAGGTGTCTATCACCTGGGATATAGTTTTATCTTGGCAAAGTAAATCTATTACTAACTCTCTGAAGAATGCTGTCTCTGAATGATGCTGCAGCTAATGGAATACTGATTTACTGCCACAACTGTAAAGGATATTTTTTAACATTGTGTTACACTTCCCATCAATTTACATCAACCAGACCTACCATATGTGAGAAGTTATCTACATTTTTCTCCAATAAAACTGAAATGATGAAAGCTTTGTTTTCCCTGAGGTATGATCCAGTATTGGTAGCCCCATTGTTTTCTTTTTTAGCCCTCATCTTTGTCAGGGCTGGAGCATATTATTCCTGCAATGCTTGCCAGAATTCTATGGCTTACTTGTTGTTTGAGACTCACCATATGTGTCTTTGATCTCTGCCTAGTAGGCACTTTGGCTGCTTGCCAGTTTGGCACTTATGATTATCATCAGTATGAATAGCTCCCTTGCTTCTGATTCTGTCCTTCTTGCTGTCATCAAATCACTCTTTAAACAACTTTCTTATTTTCTTTTAGATGCTTATAAACGATCAACCTATTTTTACCATGCCTTTCTTGGCCAAGGTTTTGTGTCACACTGCAGGAAATCCAACAGCTTTATGTTTCCACTCCTAATGATCTGACTGCCAACTACCTGTGTCACTGCATGGCAACAATAAGGAGTACAAAAACATCTCCTGTGATAGTGTTTGGAGTTACTCTGCATACTACACAAATATGCCTGTTTTCCCCATCTGGATGGCTTGATGGCATGACTTCTATGAGAGATTATTTATTTTAGTCAAAAGCATTCCTTTTAATAAACGTTTTAAAACCTTTGACCAGAACACAGCGTGAGCCAATGACAATGATAAATTCAGAGGAGTATCAGAATGATAAACAGTTTTAAGAGACAGATGGGAAGCCAAAAGCCAGTTGTGCACAATTTCTACTCACTATCCTGATACAGCACTAAACACATCTGAGCCCTTCCATGTGTTCTAGTAAACTGAAATTGTTCCAAAATGCCATTGTTGAACAAAAGATACGCAGAATCAAAATAAGGAACAGCACAGGGCACATAAAAGTCCAGACCACGAGAGGCCCACATGCTGTCACAGAAAGGTCTGCCAGAAGCGCCCATTATTCTTTACCTGACCTTGCAAATCCTTTGGTCAGTAAATATACGGATACTATCACAGGACAAGGATATCTGCCTTCATGTTAACTCATAAAGTGGGGTGGAATAGTTTTGTAGCCTCTGCAAGCAAAGAAGAGTATCAAGATGACTGTGTGTGCCTAAAACACAATCCTCTTGGAGCTTCTTTCACTCTGTGCTGTCCCATGTGACTCATGTTAAGCAATAACAATCTATTTTTGCTCTGGAGGTTTTAACACACAGGCCCCTTTTCAATAGAAAGATTATCACACCCCTCTCCCAAGAAACATGCATATTTCAGATGAACGTTTTATTTATATGTCTATTGTTTTTGAAACAACTCCTTGCATTTAGAAGGACCAGTTGACAAATTCAGTGCAAAATTGGCAAGGGTGAAAACCAAATTCTGATTGCAGGGAGAATAAGAGGTAGAACAGAAAAGAAACAATGAGAAATCGTTGCATTAGAACTCAGTTTGGGATTACTTTAGAATGCATCTGTTATATTTTCCTTCTCTGCCTAACAACACGGGAATTCAGATGAATATGTTCTTTTTAGAATATGTGGTGGCACTCTGAGTCTTGAAGCAGGTTTGTGATAGTAAACATCCACACTGGATGTAGGCTGGAAGAGGCTACCGAGGTTTTAAGACCTACAAAAACAACATAGTAACAGACATAAAAACAACACCATTAGAAGGGATTTAATGTGGAGAAAATAGCAGTTTGATATATAAGCTACCTGCAGAGAATTGCAATGCAGCTAATTTCAAAGGTATTTATAAGAAAGATGATTAAAGGCCGTGTGAAATTTGACTTTGGAACTGGAGTAACTTGAGAGCAGGTGAGGTACACTTTATTCACAGACATACTCCTAACTTTCTTGTGATTGCAGTCATCCTTTTTCCAGCTGGCTATGAAATGTACAGAAAATTGAAAATGAAATTATTAATCTTAATAAAGTGACTTTCCCTTCACAAATACCTACCACATCATTGATAAACTTTCTCTTACTGTGAGACAAAAAAGGAAGGCATGATATTTTTGCCAGCTTCTCTATATTTCATCCCTAACTATACAGGTACCAAGACCTAGAGCCAGCATTTAAGAAAACCTTAGTGGAATTTTGAACTGTGAAAATAAAAGAATGTTGAATTCACAAATATTTTACTGGGAAAAGGCAGAAAAGATACTAACTGCATCAGATAGAAGTCAGTAAAAAAACTTCCTGGGCACTTTTCAGTGACCAGATTTGAAATTGCAGAGATGACCACCAGTAATAGTTTTAAATTTTTATACTGGATTTTAAATATCTTATTTCTGAAAAGCCATTATTATCCTTGAAAAAAACAAAAGCTTCCCAGCCAATCAATCAGCATCCAGTTTTGGTTTGGCTATGGAAATACAATTTTTAGATGCACAGAACAATAAGGATGAAATGCAAAACTGCACAAGAAAAATGGGGCTTTGAGAGCATCATATCTATCAGTGAACAACTGAAACAGAGACTTGGTGGTAAACCTGATAATCTTTTGCAGCAAATGATTGACGGAAAGGTTAATAAATTTAACAAAATATCCCTGATACCCCAGAAATCGAATGATCCAGAAACAAATTTTGCTTGAGAGGAGTTTGGAAAGTTGGTTGACACAATGAAGGTAAGGGAGCAGACAAAATATAACTTGCTGCTGTCGAAACCTAAACAGTATTACATTTGTAAAGCACTACGTTTTTGCTATCTAAATGGAAAGCAGAAATGCCAGTGTGTGCACGAAGCCTCGTGTCACCTGGCTGCCCGAGCGAGCACGATCTGGTTTATCTGGTATCGTTTGCAGAGCCCAGGGATGCCGAACAGGACACACAGGTTTGGTCTGGAAGCAGCCCTGTCCCTTCCCCTTGTTCCTCTCTTTCCCCCCTGCTGCCTAAAGCCCTGCCAGGTCAGGCTGGGCCCGGTGTCCCGCGGGCGTGCGGGGGCAGGGGCCGTGTGGGGCAGTTCGGCTGCTGTCCCCACGCTCGGCCCTCCCGGCTCTCCTCAGCAGTTTCTCCCGCACGCACGCCCCGCGATTGCAGGCTGCTGCGGCGCCGGCCGAACCCGCAGCGAGCCCGGCCACCCACTGCCGCGGCTCCTCGTCAGGGAAGGCCAGGGGGGCAGGAGGCGAGAAGGGGAAGAAGGCGAGGAGGAGCAGGAGGCCAGGGGGCAGGAAGCGAGGAGAGGCACGGGGCGAGCCCCGCGGCCGGCGGGCGTGAGGCGGCGGCCGCCGCAGCCGCGCGGGAGGGGACGCGGCGGCGCTCGCGCTCTCGCGCGCGGGCCGGGAGGCTGCGCCCACCCTGCGGCGGCGGCTGCGGGGCGAGCCATGGGCACGGTGCCGTCCGCGCTGAAGCACTGCCTCAGCTACCAGCACCTCCTCAAGGAGCAGCTGTGGATCGCGGAGCCGCCCGCGGCCGCGCACCCCGCGCAGGTACCGCCCGGCGCGGGTCAAGGGATGGGACGGGGCCGGCCCTACGGGGCGCGGCCGCCACCAGGGGGAGGACGGGGCGCCGCCGCCCCCTCGCCCCTCAGGCACGTCCCCCGCGCCGCTGCTGCCAATGCCCGCCGGCAGCGCCCGGCTCTCACCTCTCTCCCATCTCCCCTCTCCCGTCCTGCCTGGAGCAGCGGGGGAGGCCCTTACCTACCGCCCGCACCGCTGGGGTGTGTCTGGTCAGTGTTCCAGCACACGGCCGGTGTTACACCGTGTTCCAGGCAGTGCGAACACGGGTGGGTGGAGCTGGGGCAGCGGTGAGGCAGTGGCAAGCCCACTCAGCAGTGGTTCTCGCCACGCGTGGTCACTACCCGTGTGAAAATGCTAAAATAGCAGGGTAAGGCGCATTTGGGCGGCACTGCCCTTGCTCCCCGCAGCTGGCACTGCTGCCACGCGGGCGCGTTTGCTGTCGAGGGAAGGCTCTCTGCAGCCGTGGGGTGCGAGGCAGAGGGAGCCGGGCGCTGTCACGGACGGGTGAGCGGAGCTGGCTGCTCACCCTCCGGTCCGTGAGCTGTGAGCAGGCGTGGACAGTGGCTGCAGGCAGTGTAGGTTGGTTGAGGCGCCTGGGCAGGTGCCATATCAACAGCGCGGGCCATGACTGTCCTAAACGTGGCTTTGTAGGGGAAGAAGCGAAGTGAAGTTACCAGGATACCCTCTGAACAGTCATTCAGTCCAACTCCAGCGCCAGTAATCAGTAATGCTTCAAACCTTTAAAAATATAAGCCAAGCCTAGAACAAAATAGTTTAAACTGTACTTAAATGCATTTTTAATTTTCTTTTTTAAGAGCAGCTCTTGTTTGTTGCATCTTTCTGTTTTCAGATAGATGTTTGTTGCACCTTCTGTTATCATCTTCCATTTTTCTGCACTCTTTGGAAGTGAAATTTAATTCCTATATAGCAATGTGACTTCAGAGGTGGAGAGATGGTGAAAAATGTTCTGAGTAGTATGAAAACTGGCAGCATTTTAGTTTTGCTTCAGATGCTCTGAGCCTCATATCTCAAAAGATGCATATATGGAATACCCAAAGCAACATTGTTGTGAGCATAGGGCTTTGTAGGTAAGCCCCATACAACTTCCAGCTATCATATTTCCCTGGGAATAGTGTCTATCCAGCATTAAATTTTGGGGGGAAAAAAACCTTTTTCTTTTTTTTTTTTTTTTTTTTTTTGTAAGTGGAATTTTTTTAATGGTAAAGAAATAAAATAGAATTAATGAACTTCGATGTACTAGGCCTGAAGCAAAGCACTATAATTCTGTTCACGTGCCCTTGCTACATTTTGGTGTATCATTTCCTTTCAAAAGATCTGAACGTTTTTCAAAAAGTTTCCTTCAAAATACTTTGATATGCCATTTGATTGTGTCATTCTCTCTCCCCATATCAGATGAAGCATTTGAAGAGTCTTGCAACAGTGGTGGGTTTGCAGAGTGGGTTTGCAGTCAAACACAACCATTAACATCTCAGAAAAGAGTAGGTTAAAAGAAAAGTTTTCTTTATTGTGATGGATCATTTTACTTAATTTTTGCCATGCTCTTCTTTTATTTTCATCACCATTTTTCTTCGTCCAAGGATACAGAGGATGTCCACAAAGGTTTTCCTTATGTAGGAGTGCATTCCGTACCTATCGCATTCAAGAAAAAAAGTGTTTCTTGTTATGTGATCTATAACTACACTGGCTCAAGCAATGATTGTAAAAGGTTTGTTGGTCTTTTTGTTTTGGTTTTTTTTTATGACCAGCATATGCAAGATATGGCAGCACCACTGCAATGATATTTATGAGAGTACACTAAGAAATAAAATAGGAAAGAGGGTTTAGGTACAAGAAGTTTCCCAGAAATAGTGCTTTCATGGCTGATAAAAATAAAGAGTTTATCTACTTGCTAAAATATTTTCAGGAGTTCCTGAGGATTTTTCTTTAACCACCAAGTAAAATGGAAATGTTGCTGCCAGGGCTCTTATAAAAATAAAATCATTCTATTTTGTCTAAAGACCCCAAATATATAATAAATTGGTTATATACTGTGTTGACTAATTTGTAGTCCTGTCCAGGTTTAACCACTTGAAGCTCTACTGGAGGTGAAATAATGGGTTCTAAAGTGAGTAGTGGGCTATCTTAGTCTTTGTTTTCCCTTCTTTTTTCTGTTTCATTTAGCCAGCTATTTTTGTGGTATTTTTAGAACAATATTTGACTTTAAAAGATAGATTTGCTTGAGTAGTAAAGTTATTAAAAATGAGAGATGCAAAGTCATAGGTAATTTGGCTAGGTGGCTAAATAGACAGTAAATAGAATTTTCTGCTATGTATTTGTAGAAGTTACTAATACCTATTTCAGTCTTATTTAGACTAGTCTGTATTGCATCAAAAAAATTACTGAACACCTGACTGGTCAATGAGACACCACATTCCTGTTGCAGTGTGTTCATCTTTCTCCAGATTCTTAATTTCTTAACTGTTTGCTTCAGAACGCTTCCATAATGCTTCATACAAGGAATACAGTTCTGCTTCATTTCCTTAGCATTACCCCACTATATGTATATGGTTTTTATTACCAGGTCTGATTAACTTAATGTTAAAGGTCTGATTTATTTTTACTAAATAAGAGCTATAGTCACACAAGATTTTATTGAAGACATGTTTTTTTTTTTTTTGTTTTTTTTTTTTAACTGTAAAATGTGCTGGCATCTATGGAGAAAAGAGGTGGCTGTAGATACTGCAGTGTTGGTGGTACTTCTGCAGAGATCAAGGTCATTACTAGTGGTCACTCACAGGTGTCACCAGAGTGTGTTTGACCAGAGTGTGTAACTACTTCGTGGTCTGCTTTGTGAAATGCTCAGCCTGAGCAGCAGGGAAGGTGTTAATCTGCTGCTGGTGTCCTGGTTTAGCAGGAACCTTCTTGCTGGAAAAAAGATGATCTGAGCTGAGCAGCAGGGAAGGTGTTAATCCACACCAGCTGGTGTCCTGGTTTAGCAGGAACCTTCTTGCTGGAAAAAAGATGATCTGAGAGTAATTGACATTGGTCTTATACTGCAGACTTAATGTTATATTTTCATGTAGGCTAGAGCAGAATTTTGATGCATTAGGAATATGCTAAGAACACAGCAGGGAAGAGCTGGAGGGCTAAAGTGTAAAAGACTGGGATGAAATTCAAGGATACAGAATGATTAGATGCTTTGAGACCTATAACCCAAACTAGAAAGTTTGACTTTATTGTTAGAAGAGATAGAAGAAGAACCTTGGAATCCTCACAAATCATAGGATGACAATGAGCTGCCAGTATAGCTGTTAAAAAAAAAATCAAGTTAGGTCCTCAGACAGAGTAGATCAAGTATTTTCAGTCAAAGAGGGAGATGTTGATGACATTGCAAAGAAACTGTATCTGTTCCATTTTGGTTAGTCATGTTCAAGAAGTTGAATTCTGGCTGGGATAAGTTAGGTCTTGCACCACTGGAATTGGAGCATGATTTGGGAACATTGGTTGGGAAAACGGAGGTGAAATGTAAAATGACTTGGGTATGTTGGACCATATAATAAATATAAAGTAGAAATTTAAAAACAAATTACCCATTGGAAGAATTCTTTAGGAGCTTTTTAATCACAGTAATGAGGATATGATTTAGGTTTACTGAAAGGATTATATGATGTGTTTTCCATAGTAGTGAAAATTATTTGGTCCTTAAGAATTTTAATGATTATATAATAAGGAATAGAGGATAGATATGTAAATGTTTTAAAAGAGACAATTCAATGTCCAGTTTTTTTAGTTGCTTGGCTTACAGCACTTTGTTAAGGTCAGAGTGTCAACTTCAGCATGAGTATTCATCTGCTTTAAACCGGGGAATTCTACTCTGCAGTAGGGTAGTGGCAAAATACAACTAAATTATATGCATCTTTTTCTTAAACCATTGCATTTATGTACTACTAGCTAGGTGTACTAAGGGGTATAGTAAAATAAGAATATATAAGGAGTCATGGTTTGGTGAGGGCTACCTACACTTACAACAAATAAAGCAAAAATAAGACAAAAATAAGACTCTAGTCTCTTATTTTGCTGGATATAGTTGTGACTCTGGGAAGTGTAATCTGACTAAATACTGCTAATGTGTGCTCTGTTATGTTGTAGGATTTCTGTCACAGACTTAGGCTGTCATATGGAATGCAATATCCAGAATCATTAACAGTTGTTCAGGATATTACCATTGGAAAGTTTTATAACTGGTGGGGAACAGAAATGCCAGGTGCTAAATATATAAAATAATGAGCAAAAACTTGGGTCCTCTAATTTAGACAGCTAACTTCTGTTTCAGAGCCTTGATTCCAATGATTTATGTGCTACGTGCCTAAATATTCAGACTGAAAATGCACAGACTAAGATTCCCTCATCTCCTCACTGCATGACACTCTTGGATCAAGAGATGCACACAACTGACTTACTTTTTCACTTTTAATGTGCTAATTTAGATTTTGTAACAGATTGTCATGTTTTAAACATATGATAGAAACCTCTCAAATTTATTTTTAAAGTAACTCAAGAATAACAAGAAAACCCACAGTCCATGTGACAATTACATATGTCTTACTCACTTATGTTTGATTCTTGATTCAAATTACAGCATCAAAGATGAGGCATATGGTATTATGCAGTCTGGGAGGAGAGAGCAGATCTCTTTTATTTGAGTCTTTTAGGTACACCTCAGAGCAACTGATTTGAGACATACTGTATTTCATGTTCTTTTTATCTCCACATAATTATATATTCCAGGAATAAATTAACATTTGCAGGCTCTCATCAAATAACTATTTATTTTCTTAGTCTTTATAAGATTTAAAGCATACAAAGTTACTAAATAGAAATAATATATTTATATATTATACATTAATACAATTATTAAATATATATAATAAAATAAATAGAGTAATTATAATTTAAATTTTAAATTGGAT